GCCAAACTTGCCTGTGGGCAACGACGCCAACGTCTTTTCTTTAGTTGCGATGCTCGTGGTATCAGATCTTTTTGCACGCTTCCAAATCTGCGGTGCTGTCACTGGAGGAATAATGTCATTCTGGGACAACAACCCCTGTAAAACACACAAAAAAAAACTCATGTCTTCTCCATTCCTGCTGCTGTTTATTCTTTGTTACTATATCATATTTATTTACAGTTAAGAGAGAGGTCAACCAGCTGGAGTGAAACCCCATTATAATGCAATGGTTGGTTGAATCCTAGCAACTCCGTGCTGGAACAAGGCATGATAGATGTTTACAAGGAGCACGTGCAAGCAGTCAGCTCATTCCTGACATACATGCCAGTTCCTGCACGAAAAGATAGGCCAATGGTTGTCACCAACCACACTATCCATTTGATATGCAAAACAGGAAGCAACTTCAATGACAACCTGATGACTGATAGGTGACCTTATTTTGAGCTCAGAAAGCTAAAATGGCCGACTTTGGGTCATCAGATATCTGCCGACATTTCCTGTGCACCGTGCTTGCATAGCACATCAGAAGGAACGTTGGTGGAGATCTAATACCCTGCATGTCAGCCATTATGACACAAGAGGTAGTTGACACACATGTACAGTAATGGGGCCCACACTGCCAAAAAATAAGGAGCTATTAAATTTGTCTGGTACATATTTTGATTCAGGGCAGCAGAAACCATTGCAATGAGCCCCCAAAAATGGTGTAATCAGGGAAATAGGATAGTCATGGGGATTTCAGACTGATATTAATATTAAACCACCCCAAAAACAGCAACAGTTAAGATTTCCATTATGAAACATAACATGCTTTTCTTTGATTAACTTCTTGTATTTTGTGAAGGTATAGAGATCTAATTTGAAGAGGAACTCTTTTGTATACCAATAGACTATAAACTTTATACTATTCCTCCACACCCCATTACTTGCAAGTATGGCAGACCAAATGGGCATCAATTGATACTTCTGCAGAAAAACACCCTATTTCTAGCTTATTTGAACCTTTGGACAAAATTCCACCTGTTTAGCACCTGTTAAACACTAGCCTGCAAATGAAAAATAGTTGTAGCATAAAGTAATAGAAAACCAGCCACCAGTGTATAAATCACTTACAATTCCAGCGGCTTGAAAAAGAGAGGCTGCATTTTCTATCTTGCGTTTCCGCTGCAAGTTGTGCAAAGACAGCAACTTGGCGTCCACCTCTTCCTGCAGGTTTCCTCCTGCTGCAGATCTGCAATAAAAATCATAAGATGACTACAAAGTCAAGACAGATCGTATGGAATCTTGAGTTGTTACAAACCTAATATTTAAAGGTCAACGGGGTTATTGTTAATCTATTTGAGTATTGCACTCAAGTTATCTTGTCCAATTTAACCATCCAGGTCATATGGACAAAGTCATTACTCATCGACTTGCTCACTGCAATGTTCAAACTTAATGGACTCAAAGGACAGAACTTTATTTTAATTGTGTAGGGCTAATATCGTTACAAAATTATGCTCATCATCTACTGCCATTTGTTTCTTTCAAGAACGCGAGTTGAAATCTTCTTTTAAAATTATTGATCAGTTCAGGACACGTTAAAAGATTAATTGCATTATATTTCTACTGCTCAGCAATGGCCCGGGAAAGGAAGGACTATGAAATCCATTTACTGTGGGATTCGAGATGACTCACCTTTTGTTATAAGTCAGCACTGGTTTCACTGGAGACATTGGACTTCCTGAACGTGAAGCATCCATCTGTTCAGACAGCAATCCTTTTCCAATCGTTCGGACGGGAGAAGCGGTTCTGCTGGTTGGTTTGCTGTACGGTGATCCTGGAGTACTACTGACTTCATCCATCATGTGCAGGGGAGAAGGGGAAGACTGGGATGCAGAGAGAGACTCAGTGTTTTCCAAAGAAATTTTTAACGCTGGTGCGTATTTCTCAGTGGAGTTCTTAGCAGATTTTGGGGCTGACTGGAAGAGGTTCACAATACTGCTTACACTCTGTGAATGAGGTGGGCTGGCTTGAATATCTGTGAGGGGTGAAAGTTGGTCCAATGATCGAAGCTGAAAATCATCATCCATTGGGATGTATGGAGCCAACATCTCCAAATCCAAGCCATCAACATCCTGGTGAAATCAATATTTTAACACAAGTTGTCAAATTTGAAATGTTGTACGTTTTGTGTACAAGTTATCTGTGCGCTGAGCAATTCAAAGTGTCCACAATGAATGAAAAGGTTTCAGTTGCCTAATGCATCAAGGGCACAGTATCTTGTCAATTTAGTTTCTGTTAGTCTCAAGTACAAAACTCTCATTCTTACACTCAAGGCCCTCCACGTTCACTCGCCACCTCTCCGACCTCATCACTCCATATCAGCCTGCCTGCTCCCTCCGCTCGGCCTGCTTCAGGTCCCCTGCACTTCCCATCCCACCATTGGCAGCCGGGCATCTTCGGCCACCCTCCCGCGCCCCCGTCCACCTCCCCTTCTAACCCCAACACCCAGCTCTGCTTTTTTCCTGTAAATATGAATTTTGACAGCTCAAGTAACTGAAGTACTATATAATTCTACAATTAGTATGATTTATTTTAGTCTAAATGAGGAATTCTCAATCCCATCTATTTTTTAATAATTGAGGATATTCCACCAAGTATTTCCCTCTGCTGATTGTATGGAGGAGTTTTCATTTCATACCTGAACAGAGAATGGGTTTTTGGCCTCTGGGTCAACTGCAAAGAGCTTTTCAACAATATCCAGTTTAAACACATTGGACATGTCTGTATCAACATTATAGCAGTATTCTGATGGACTGCTGGGCTGTGAAGACAAATTTTAAGGTTTTTGATGTTAGCTGAAAAAGATTCAATTTCTATAAAATGGTGAAGTACAGTACATATTAAGTACATAAGTACATATTACAGTCTCGAAAGATCGCCAGGATAGCTAAATGTGGAGTCCTGTAGCTCAGTGGTTAGAGCACTCGCATTGTAAGCGAGAGACCTGGGTTTGATTCCCAGCAGGGTGAAACCTTGGGCAAGTTTCCTTACTCCACGCGCCTGATAATAATCCCCCAAACAATAATAAATTGGTCATTTTCAATCCACGACTGTTTGTGGAATACTGCTGTGTGCAATTGGCTGCCGTATTTCGCCCACAAATATACAGTCAATTCACTTTAGTCTATTCTGTGAAGCGCTTTGAGACGTCTAGAAGACGTGAAAAGCACTCTGTCAAATGCAAGGATTATTATTATAAGATTGAGGCCTAAGTAGCAAGTGCATATAATCACTAGATAGATGGCTCTGCTAAATTCTATAAATCGGTACATTAGTCAAGATGCAATCCTGATGTCTGGACTTTTTGTTTTTTTAAAAAAACAACTTACTTGTGGTGAGCTTTGATTGGTGCTGGGACAGGAAGGGCTATTAGGCTGCTCCTTCATTTGTGGAATGGTAAATGAAAGTTCCAGTGACTCTGGGTTTGTTTCAAGCTTGGTAATTGCTTCCAAATTCAAGGCTGGGTCCGTGGTGCTGCACAGCGACTTAGTGGGGTCAGAGGGAGGAAGGGGCGACAACTCTACAGGCTTCTGTTCTGTTGAGGATGGTAACATGACATCATTGTAGAGTGGGAAATGCTGCATTTCTGAATCTATAAGAGACAAATGTGTTTTAGTTTATAAGCCTCATGTGCTTTACTTTTCTACACAACTTTTCAAAAGTTTGCCTTAAACCTAAACGTATTCTGCCTACCCTCGTCTTAAGATGCTCGATTTCTTCCTTCTACCTGGTCCAGACCAAAGATTAAACATGTATGACTCCCAGTCTTGTTTAGCTCAGATACACTGAGCCATCAGAGACTCTCTAAAAGTTTTTATAAGCAATTCAAAGAAAAATTTAGTTTCTAAAATTTGATCTTACACAAGATGTAAGTAAAATCTATGGATTGCTATTGTCAGCTAGGAGAATGCATTACTTTTGTATCATTTAAGATATACTGCCAAACCACCAAAAGATGTCGCACATTTCGAAAATCTAAATTCTACAGGCAAGCTTGTTACCAAGTGTGCTATTTTCTTCAGTTAATTTTCTTTTGACATTTTCATGCTTTCTCCAATAATCTTTCCTTACCCCCTCTCTACTTAAGTTAATGACTCATGCCTCAATGTAGCTCCATATCATTCTCTCTGATACCTCACCTGATTAGCAATTCTTCATGCATGAGTCTTGACAGTAAATATCAGGCCATTTGAATAGACAAGAGTGGGGTATTCAAGGTAAACTCTGGCACCCCAGCCATATGCCTTAAACATTGAAATATCTGCTGGGAATCCCAGAGTCACTCTTTGTTATCAGAAGCTCTAAAACATTTGGCTCCAACTTATTTCAACTTTTATGATTTTTTATCTCTAGAATCAGCCTAGATAGATGGCAGGAAAAGCCAGTTCATTTCTGAATAGACTTGAGCAGCAACTCTAGTTCCCAGGGCTTTCTTCAATAGAACAGTACAGCTTTGAAATTCATAACTGTGACAAAGCGTCAGAACTTCACGTAAACTGTGTACAGCAACAGGCTCCAACCTGAAGGACTGAAATCCAAGGAGATAATTGTGTCGCCTGCAGCTGGTGCAAGTTGAGTCAAAGCTTCAGGCTCCTCCTTCAGTTTGTTGAAAAGATCATTAGATTCTTGATCTGTGGGTGAATTATAGCTCTTGCCAGTTGTCTCAATTGTGTCAGGTGACTCATCAGTTACAGGTACACTCTCAGTCTGATCCAGTGAAAAGACAACCCCTTTTTCAACAACACCACTGGAAAAATAAAAAACACTGGTTAGTTGAAGGTCTCCACACAGTAAAATCAATCGCAATGAACCATTTTGCAAAACATAAGGCATTACCATATCAAGAATCACAACCCAGGTAGGCTCTCTTTGCCTTTGACAAAAATGTCAAAACAAAAATGACTTTGGTCACTTGGCAAATTATTATGATATTCTTGAATAACCTTACATTCATGCACAATCCTCACTAAAGTAAAAAGCAAGCCTCGAAAACCCTTACCTCAAAACATAGTTCACACAGACAATGCATTGTGGCTGGGAATTCTTTGTGTTGTAGATCACTGTAGCCTGAGTCTCGACCCAAACGTAACCACCTTCCTTGGACAACATCCTGTACTGGCATGTGGTGGCCTGGCCCTTAGAAAACACTGAAGTGAAGCAAAAAGAAAACAAAGCAACAGTGTTTAAATGCTACACTGCAACATAGGTGGATTTTGTAAATGTTTAAATCTCAAGTTCTTGATAACAGCATTGCCTCAATTCATGAGGTTAGAGAAAATTTGTACTATGTTTAGAGTATGTGGTTCAAATGGTATAATACAATATGAAATCATTGTAATGTGGAGATTTCAATGAAACCATATCAATTTTAAACTTTAAAAGGACTGAACATACAAAAGTGGACGTTTTTAACACATCAAAGGGTTTAGCCATCGGTAAGTACAGAACTAGTTTACTCATCCAGTGCTCTCAGATCTGAGTGGATGCCAACATGTTACAAAGATTGTGAGGCTTGTCAATCAATTTTTAACCGATCAGTTGAGTCAATTATGAGCCAATAAAGTCATTTAAAAAAAATGTTGCTCTCGCTTTCCAAAATGGATTGTAGGAGATGGACAACAGCAGGACAGTGGTAAATTTTAAAGTTAGAAGTAGATGGTATAAGGTCCGCAATTTGATGCGATGAATTAGATAAAATAAAGATGGAATAAGGACAAGGGGGGGAAAAAAATTATAAAATGGTGAGCAAATATGAAGTGGTTTAACCTTTTTGGTGGACTAGGGTTAAGGAAGGGAGGAATAACTATTTTGTTTAAGTAGCTTTATGACTGTAATAGGGTTATTCTCAGGGCACAAGCTTTTGGAGAACCCAGTGGAGATGAGCATCTCTGCAGCACTTTGTAAATTATAACATTTATTGATTATAATGTGTAGTTTACTTACAGTCATGATGAGTTTTAGTCAGATGATCTGAATCCATAGCATGGTAGTATTCATAGACAGATCGACCCAGCAGTTCGTCTGGTTGATATCCCATTAATTCAGTTATCCTGTACAATTAAAGAGCAATGTTTGTATAAGCTAGAGAAATAGCGAGATTCACTGATGCAATGAAGCTTGTAAATCAGGATCTCCAGACAGTCGATCTCCACTAGGTGGCACTCTCATGACAAGAGAGGAAGGAAGCGATAGAACTGGGTTGTTACAAGTCGAATTGAAAACAAAACCAGATGCACAAAGTAATTTATGCAGCTGGAAATAAAAAATATAAACTTTGGTGTTTAAAGTGCAGTAAATATCGCTCCTGCCTCTTATTTTTACAAAGACACTGCTTACTCAATGTTGCCTGCAGATGAATTGGTATCTATAAAATCTCCAATTGTGCTGTAATGAAGCGTGACAAGTTTTACTGTGAATGCATGCAGCTGGTTAAGTCAAGCTATGCATGGAACTAGTTTCCACCGTGAGAGAAAAATGGCCAACTTCCAGGTTATCAAGTCACCACCAGTATCACTTCTTGTTCACTGCATATCAGCTTACTTAGTAACCCAAAAGTCGCACATTTTAGCCCAAAAGCCAGCTGGCGCCCAAGAAGCAAGCCAGCTGGCTGCGCACGTGTGCAGTGAATGGAGGCAAGCAATAGTGCAAAAGCTTTATAATTAAATTCACACTATAAAGATACCTTTATAATGGCCTGTATTGTAGTAACTGATTCAGGTATAAGATTTTAAAGCTACGAGACTAACCTCTCATCACAGTAGGAAAACTTCATGTCTAGGCTGTGACGACTCAGAAATGTCTTGCTGTCCAGAGGTACCTCAATGTTGGATGGGTGTGGGATAGGTTCACAAACCAATGCCAGACAGGTCATGGGTGGCTCCTTGTAGCCACAAGGGGTCTGCTCATCACTGCCTTCATGTACTTGAATGTGCCCTGTGCAGTGAAGCACCTATAGAACCACCACATGAAATGAGACAATAGTTGCCAAGGTTTAAAGTATCTTTACTCAGAATATGAAAATGTATTATGCAGCTTGAATATACATTTTATTCACAAGCTAATACTGGATGTTAACAGCATAGTTTGTTTTAAGAAATTCACTGCAAACAGTAATTCCATAGAACATAGTTGGAACAGCAGCTCCAAACCAGTCAGCTATGCATAGCAACAAAAGTGCATGCATAATTGAGAATCTCTCTCCGTGGGAAATACCATGGATTTGTGTGTGTGTATGTGTTTTTTTTAAGATGCCCTATTAGGACATATTTTGAAGTTGACATATAAAAAGCATTCGCTGGCAGCAACTTTACAAATAAAACTGTCCGTTCTCTCTTATAAACAATGAAATTTGCGAAAATAGCAGCTCTTCAATGTAGCCCAAAAAAATTAAATGGCAGATGGGTATAAAGCTTATAGCTTCTGATTTTGTGGCTTTAATACTTAGTGGGAGTAATATAGCAGGTTACCAGTTCAGTAAGAGATTAATAACTATACCTAATGGAGTTGTGATGCAGTATGATACTTTATATGGAATCGCTGCAAGTGTTCACCACCGCTAAGTATATAAATAGGGAGAATCTGGCACTTGACATACTGTTTTATTTTTGTATGTTTTATTTCCTCAGATAAGGCTTATCTTCATGTAAAATAAAATGTCATTAAGAAGAAAACCTAGATTTATATCAGGATTATTGATCATATCCGCCTTTAAATGCAGATGCTGAGGTATAAAAGCACACACACACACTGAGGAAGATGAACATGACATTATAGAAGAAATAATGGCTTGAGACAATTTCTGTCCATATCCTTTCTGCTTCCTTCCTGCCCTCCACCCTCCCCCACCCCGACCCCCAGCTTGGGTCCGTAACTCTGCCTGTCCAGTGCCCTGGGACATCCTCCCGACGTGAAAGGCGCTATACAAATGTAATTTTGTTCTGAAGGGGATGAGTAATACTGGTTGATGTATTTACAGGCAGCACTCAGCCATTACTCATATATGCCCAAAGGCGGGCAAGGTCAGCTGGTAATTTGATGAGTGAATGGCTATACTTGCGTCATAGCATCCAGTTCCCAGGAGGGGTCACTACATAGCCATTCATATAATCAATCCAACTCAAATGTTACCAAAGCAGTTCGACTGCATTAATCAACAGGGAGACAAAAACAATGTGAAACTCAGATTGATAGCCTGTGAGGATAGTTATCTACAGATATCTTAATTTATGCTGCTTTCACAAGATCTAGTAATAAAAGCAAATTTTGGCAAATAAATATGAAATGAAAGTGAAGCAATTTGAAAAGCTTGTCGATATTTTTTAAGAAGTGATGTTTTCTAAACTTTCTGTTTCTCATTGGGTGACACTCCCAGCAACCAATTACTTCCGAATATTTAGCTTCATTCATGCTATTCAAGAGCGTTTAAGTAGCATCCGTTGAACACAATTTAAAAACTACTACCCTACTCTTCAAATTAACAAAACTAGGATTGGAAAAGGAGTTTAAACACAAGTTACACACCTTCCAAGACGAGGATTTGATGTTGACAGTCCGGCCCCGGCTGGTGAGTGTACATTTCATTCTCAAGAAGAAACTGCGTTCTGTGATCTGGTCCTTCCCCTTCTTCTGAAGTCCTAAAGGATAAAAGTCACCAAATTTACTGACAAACTGCAATTTCGGTCCAACAATACAAAAATATTGTTGTTACAAAAACTGATGTAGGGACTCAATATGCATGCAAGCAGTTAATATGTTCACATCAAAAGCAATGGTACAACCTACAAACAAGGGAGCATTGCTGTTTCAATTAAATCAGATCTAGGAATAAACATTGCCTTCAAAAAATTATGCCCAGCCAATAAAGAAACAAAGGAACTACTTTTGGGTATCAAATGACTAAACCTTGCAACCCAATGGCCCACATTGGTAGTTCCTAAATCAGGTCTTATATTTGCAAATTTCTGTGCAAAGGCAAAGAAAATGAGGAAAAATAATAATCACTGTTTTTACTCATCTCCTAGCAGCCAGTTCAAGAACAACATAGGTACTAGAACACGTCATTTCTATTACACAGCCTTGAAAGATACTAACAATTTGGGAATGATGCGTGGGTGCAAATAGCCAACAAGAAAACATTACAATAATAGCCTCAAGTAAACACAAGTTGTTTGAAAAACTTATCATCAAAATGAGACTGTATAACTACAATCTCCACAGGCATTCAATTGTTTATCAATCTTCATATGGTTATCTGAAAAAACACCTCGTCAGGGTTAGAAAGGAAACGCATCACATTCCAAACCCCGGGCAAGATATGATAATGCATGGTATGCTGGAAGTTCATCTAACAATGCATAATCAAAAGTAATCTTAAATATTCAATACAGTTCTTCCAAAGTACTTAAAAAAGCACTTGTAAGTTTCATACTTTCTATGACAGATTTAAAATTTAGGGAGTTTGTAACTCAGGATTCTACCATCATGAACACTGACTCCTGCTGGGCTGCAATAAAGATGCCAGAAGCCCTCCAGGCCCTCTGTGAGATGCTAATTCTTCACGTATTAGTAGAGACGGCTAGTGTTTCACTTCTTCCACTACAGGGGTGTCACATTTTAGATCTCTCCTGACATAACTCAGCTGACAACGCCAATGTTCAATCGGAAAATCATCATCAGATAGGATTAATCATGATAAAATATTTTTCTTACCCTGCCTGTGTGAGAGCATTTCCCGCATTTCCTCATGATCACAAGGGTGCGTGAAATCAAAGATGCTGTGCCCGATCAGTTCAAACTGTTCATAAAAGAAAAAAAATGACAAAAGTTAGATGTGTATGAATACAAAGATAATTTTTTTTTGCATTCTATGAATGGATTTATAATTATAACCAGAAAAGAATATTTGAAGATCGTAAACATGGGGAATTAGTATCCAAAGCACCTACTACGTAGGAGTGAGGAATGATTCAACAAGTAGGGTTGTAGCAGTGGCAAAGCTAATTTTACTCAAAACCTAGTTCAGCCATGGTAAAACTAAAATCATTGTATAAATCATTAAATATTTCAGTCTGCAATCACATGCAGATTGGCAAGGCACATTTATGCCCTTTCAGGGCAATGCTTATATTGCTTATGTGCTGTTCTCTCCATTTTCTCTTTCCCAATACAAGCCACCATGCCGATAAGTGTTGTTCATTAAATCCACAACAGGACAGACTCTGAAACGCTGACCAGAGAGGAAAAAAAACACTGCCAGCAAAGCCCCACTTCTCCGTTCTTTTAAAAGGCACCAGTCACATGATGCCAGTGCTAAAGTAATAATAACAATAATCCTTGTATTTGATATAGCGCTTTTCACGTCGGGAGGACGTCCCAAAGCGCTTCACAGAACACACTGTAAAGTGAATTGACTGTATATTTGTGGGCGAACGCGGCAGCCAATTGCGCACAGCAATGTCCCACAAACAGTCGTAGATTGAAAATGACCAATTTATTATTGTTTTTGGTTTTTGGAGGGATTATTATTAGGCTCTGTGTGGAGTAAGGAAACTTGCCCAAGGTTTCGCCCTCTGCCTGGAAATAGCCCTGATCATCAGTACATTTTATCTGGCCACCTCTTATCTGATCACCTTTGCTTATGCAGAAATGGTACAGGAAAACAGAGTTGACTTCTATCTCAAATTATACCTGGGTTAGTCCCATATACTTGTTGACATTCTCAGACATGTAGATCATATCTCCGTCCTGTGTCAGCACTAAAACAAATCCCTCCAGGGCCTTCAAGTAAAAGCTGTTGAGCTGTTTCTCTCGATCAGGCTCCACCTCAACATCCCCTGTAGTAGATGCAAACAAGTTGGGTCAAGAGAATTCATCATTAAAGACTGTTTACTTTTATTGAATACTTAAAATTCAATTACTGTAAATTGTAATTAAACATGTAATGAGCAGACAAATCGCAAGTTAGGGAAAAGAAACATTAAATTTTCAAAATTCTGCAGAGGACTACTCCGACAAATGAGTTCAGGATCCTGATAACAATCCTTGCATTTGATATAGCGTCTTATCACATTGTTGAAACATCTCAAAGTGCTTCACAGAATATACTCTAAAGTGAATTGACTGTATATTTTATGGGTGAAAATCCAAGATACACAAGTTGTAAAAATATCAGAAAAAGAGCAATAAACTTTTCAAATAAGGTACCCATTTAGTAAAAAACATGCAACATTTCACACAAAATTAAACTTCTAAACTGGTATAATCTGTTTGCATCACAGAGAATTTTTTCATTTGAACTAATGATTGGAAGAAAAGGAAAGTTAGAGTCTAGGCTACTTAGATTTTTTTCACATTTATAAAACTAATGGCAGGAAGGGGAAATAAAGGTGGGGGGAGAAAAAAGAGGTGGAAGAACTAAAAGTGGAAACTTTTCTTTGGAAAAAAATCTTGGGAGCACATTCTGTGAACCAGAGTTCTATACAATGTGTAACAAATGATCGTGTACCAGGGAGTTTATGCTCAGATCAGTGGTTTCGGCTGTCCAGTCAAGCAAAGTCTCCAAACGCAAGTGGTATTAAGTTGCCACAATAAGCATCTGCTACATCTTCCATTGAGGCGGAAAGTGATTAGGAATTCAAATTGTGATACATTTAAAATACATTTATTTCTTATACACTAGGGTATTCTGCTAAGTGGAAACTAACTCCCTGCTAGGAATTAGAACTATTCTCACCCTAATATTAAATAGTTTTAAAATATGCTTCCCCCCAAAAAAATGGTCAAACATGATATAAACCTCGTTGTATTGGATATAACAATAAAGCCTGAAATGTTAATAGGCTTTTAATTTTAATTACAGGAATATGCATCCATCATGTCTAACCGTGTTCTATATCATTGTTCAAAATCAGACGGGTTAGCAACTACAAAGTTTAAAGAGATCCAAAGGAGTGGGATTTCAATTGCCAAAACAAAATGAACCCTACTAAACAGTTTCAGCCTTTTCTTTTTGAACAGTATTTATACTGTAACATTGAACAATACAAAGGAATCAATCAGGAGGTACAGTTAATTTCAAACTACTAACTGATGAATGTGTTTATACATTAGAATGTATTGTAAATCAGCTGGCAAAATCTAAGTACATTTTGAATCAGAGCAATAATTGAATTTCAAGAATATTTAGCCATAGGTGCAAATTCCTCATTACTTTAATTTCAGTACATTTAGAAATCATTTGATCGTTTCATAAACCCATTTACAGAAATAAAATAGTTATGGTCCCATCATTTTACAAACTGAAAGGCATTCTGCACAACAATAAATAGTTAAGAAATTATCCACTTCAAGGACAGTTTAAGCATAATTTCGTAAAATATCTGCATCAGTGCACACATTGAGCTGCACTGCACAATCATTTTCTGAATCTTTGTTTTACTCACTAGGACTAAGTAATTTTCTCATTCGCAGATAGCTGATGGTCAATCTCATTATGGAGGCCTTGTCCAGGTGAGAGCTGACACTGTGAGGCAATGGCAGCTGATGGGCCAACTCATAAAAGACCTCAGATTCTTTGCTTCTTCGGCACCTGGCAGCATCACGAGACTTCTCCTTTCTCCGCTCTGAGCTAACACTGAGAAGATTAAAAATGGAATGCTCATCAGAAACACCTTCAGACAAGACACTTTGACATACCACAGTGCAACAAGCAGTTTAACATCCTAGTTTGCTTTTGTTAAGCAGAATACAGGAGATTGTCTAGCAATTGCTATCTACAGCATATTGGAAGCAGAAATGTTCTCTAATTTCAGTCAATCAAACAGCAGGATATATGCATAAACTCGATGACCTACAATGTCATTGGGTTGAAGGAATAGAAACTACACAAACTCCCATGACTAACAGTGAAATTTTAATGTCCAATTAAGAAAGACAACTGTCATCACGAGTTGCCAGTAAATTGCTGGCTAAGGGCCAAGGTAGTTTCACTGAAACAATCTTTTCTTCTTGCAGATGAAGAATCTTCAGCTCAAAGAAAATCCAATTTATTTTAATAATAGAAAGCCTTTATAGATGTAAGCAGATAACAGCTTTTTATTCACTATAGATGTAAGCAGATAACAGCTTTTTATTCACAATATTTTCAAACATTTACCAAGCTGCAAATTAGACAACCTCTATAATTATTGTACAACTACAAACTTTGCTCTTTTTAAAAAGACTAGCAACCCATTTTCCCATTGATGTCCAAGTCTATCGAAATCACTCCAGACATACTTGTGTTCCTGCTAAACTGTAGTTGGATTAAAAAAATACACTGCGCATTAACAACAATGCACTTGACAAATCACGGTCTGACCAAACCAATCTTCAACCAACAGCTTAATTAAGTGCGCTGAATCATACACATTGTACTGTACTTTGAATCCAAATACATGTGAAACAACAGTGATAAAGCTTTAGTTTATCTCATCTCTGAAGAAATGCATGTCTTTTGCACACAGAAGTTTACGTACAGAAGTTTTTTGAAAAAAACATATACAGGAGCATGCATTAGACTGCAGGATCTGACTTACTATTGGCACACTGGTATAATTCGTTAAGTCTACATTCCCAGCAGCTATTGTTTAGGTATGATCACTTCTGATCCCATGCTCCATGCTACCTGATATAAAAACAGCCATCTATTTGAAGTTGGTAGATGCATACCAACTTTTTTAAAATGAAAAAAGGCCCTACTGGTAGTTTTAATTCATCAGGTATTGGCAACCATTTCTTGAAATCAGTACCTCCAAGCACTTCTACAGTCAGACTAAAATATTGAACAAGGTCAACGTAATGATTCCTTAGTCTGCAAAATACACAATAATCATAAACAAAACATTGTGGCTATTTAATTTTTTGGTAAAAACAAATAAGTTCAAGTGTGGCCTTTTCCACTCAAGTTATTCTGCTAAACAGCCCGATATTATGTCCAAATCACAACAAACACATATAAAAATTGTAGCCATACACTCTATAGGGCAAACAGACCAATATTTAAAGTTCTAAGCCCAGGTTGGAAAATAAATCTGTTTTGATAACCAATTTTGGACAATCCAAATCCCACTTCCACATTGGACACTGGGAATCCAGATTCTTAGGAAACAGACAAGTTTAAATATTAAACTTATTTGAAAGAGAAATAAAGTGCTTAAAATATTCCTTCCAGCTAGATTCGAAAATGACATGCTTAGAAAAACGTTTTACCTTTATTGAGAAATCCTTGGCATCTGCCTCCTCCACGGGTAGGCCACTCCACTGACGTGACCGACGGGGAGGAGCCACATGCAACCCGGAGCTGCTCCATTTACTTCAACAGGACGGGTGCTTTGGATGGGCCTGTAAGCTGATCCGACTCTGGGAAAGCACGGTACTGGTGAGTATGCAGTAACACCCATCCAATAGTACTATACTTTGAGAGGGGAAGAGGGAAAGATGGGGAAAACAGGGCAAGCGTAAGTGTTTAAAACTTAGCGAATGTTGTGCTCATCAAGGTAGGGATATTTGTGCTGTGAAATGAAACACTTTCACTATTCAAGTATCCAGTGTCAGTATCAAGCCCTCCCAGGTCAGGTATAGGACAATTAGCTGCAGAGTACAGGCCAGTTCACTCTGCCTCAGCACAACCCAAGAGTACCCTCTTATACACCAGTGTATTTCATACACTAGGTATCCCTAAGCTCCAGTGAGTGAGACAGTAAATAGCATATTTTTTTAATTGAACTATGGTACAACATCTTAAACGTTTAAAAGTGGAATTCCTTGATGCAATTATCATTCTAAGGGAAAAGGAAATTATAAGTAGCTTTCATTATCCAAAGCATTGAATTCAATATTTAGAATGTTGAAACAATGATTTGTGCATGTGGAAGTATTAAGGGAATGGGTTTATTATTGTTAATAATCCTTACATGTGATATAGCGCCTTTCAAGTCGAGAGGACATCTCAAAGCACTTCACAGGACTATAGTGTAACAACTGTTTTGTGAACAAATACTGCAGCCAATTCACAAACCGCAATGTACTACAAACAGCCATGAAGTGAATGACCACTTCTATTTGGGGGATTGTTGGCCTGGAGACCAGGAATTCTCTTCTCTTTCTGAATAGTGGAATGGAAACTTCTAATGTCCACCTGAATAGGCAGATGGAGTGCTCGGTTTAATGTTTCATCTGAAGGACGGCAGCTCAAACATTAAAGCAAACCCTCAAAATGTAATATTGAATGACAAGTAAAACCATAGATCAGAAGTTATATACTCCTCCATCCCATATGGAATTTTGCTGGAACAGATGTATAGATATCTGGGAAAAAAAATGTTCCATGCTAAATCAATTATATTTTTCCAAATAGAAACTGGGCACCTATGAATTGGGAATAACATCAAAGATAACCAGGATAGGTATAGTATAGTACAATCTACAATCAAATGTGATTTGTTTGTGAATGGAACAGCTCGATAACAAATCAAATGGCCTTTTATTCTGTTCCAAGGTTTTATTTTCTGGAAACAACTCTAGCAAATAAGTTGAACTACACAGAAACTCAGCAATATAATTAAATACAATTACAAACTACCCAGTCATTTCTAAATTCAATTCCTGAAAGCCAGTGAGTCTTTCAGAGATTGAACTTAGACGTTTGTAATGAAGTTTTTTACCTCTAGAGGTCTTCAACTTACTTTTATATCTAGTGACAGAACATCAATACTTCATCAAACCTTATCTCATTCTACCGACACTGTCCAATTTCATCAGCTTGGATCCTTTTGATAGTGTTTGGCTAGCATATTAATGCAACATGAAACAAATACACGGTGACCTAGTTATAAAGCAATGTTTTAGGTCCATAAATTAGACCCCAAATCATCATGCCTCTAGTTGGTGTCCTCTGGTCAGCCAAAGCCATTCTTGTGACAGTTTCTAGCAAAAGAAATACTCATGACAGTGATCGCGCTTGACCAGCCAGGTTTCTGTTGCAGGAGCAAGCAGACTTCAGGAATCAAAAATATGGATGATAATGGGGGGAAAAGAAAAATTAAGGATCAGTTTGGATCAGTATTTAAGATCAGTAATTATCATTGCAGAGTGATAAAGATCAACAATCAGTAATTTTTGAACCTCTTAATTTCAGGTTCTGCAAAGTCTGAATGCGCCTCCTATATGTTAATACAAAAATAGAGATAAGAAAAACAGCTTAATTAATTGTTAAAAAATTTTTTTTTCAAATCATGAGCATTCTAATGGCAGTTACTTGTCATTTCAGGAATTGCTGTTCCTACAAATACAGTAGTTACACTGTTCAGAAATAGTGGGTTACAATGTGTTTAGCATCCAACTCAAGCAACTACTAGGAAATGACATTAATACTATAACAGTTTAGCCTCTACCATCATTCTGAAAACCACTTAATGCCCACTGGGATGGTTGTTGATGGATCAATATAGAAAAGGGCAATCTAAATCTGGCATTATATTTCTAAACCCTCAACTGGCACACCAATTGAAGTTAACTGAAGTAAACTGTAAGCACACCATGTGAATCAGAAAATCCATTACTCAGACCTCAGCCATATTTTTAAAAAATCTCTTTACCGCCTCTCCTGATTCTTTCTGGGCAAATAGCCCTCCATTACATCGACCCTCCAATGTGCTGATCAAGTGGCCGCTCTTCATCTTATTGGTGAGTATAGGTAAGCTATTCGTCCTGGAGGGCTATCACAACCAATTCACACTTTGCACCAGAGCACCAAGATCAGCAGTTGAACAAGTGACTTGCTGTGCGTCATTTACCAATACAGTATTTTTACCCTCGAAGTCAGCCATAGGAGAGCCCCACATATTTCCAAATAATGTCACTGATAATTTTGATATGAACTGGGTATAGGCTGCTTTGCTTATTTTTAGTGCATATTTCTTTGTATTCACCTTGATGGATTCTTACTCAAGACTTAGTCAATCCTCAGGTAACTCATAAAACTACAGTACTGCAAGCAGCAGAAATATATCAACTACAGGGGAATGAAAGCAATTTTTCAAAGAAGCTTATCAGAAGCCAGGATAAATGCAATCCATCCTGAAGTGGACATGTCACTACATGATTTAAATCAATCTCCAAACTCCTGGTTGCAGGCAGACATAGTGTTTTCCTATTTGGATTAAAGGTGACAGACATCCCATCTTCAACAAGCTATCCATCTCATCTATTTCCATTAACCTTGTCATAGAAGTCTCAATGTCATAGACTGCCTGAGATTATAATCTTTACAGCCTTGTCAAATGTTACACTGACCTGATTTATAATCATAGAACTGAGTAAATAATGATAGGAAACTTCAATTTAGTGGCTGATTTATTTTCACCTTTAGACTTAGTAACCTTACCGAAAACTCTACATTCACCTGCAACTTAACTAATGTAAATATTATAAAAAATTTCCAATTGCAAAACTGGAGGATATTGAGAACCCCAAAAAATCACACTTGTATACTACCAGTTAATTGGCATCAGTCTCCCCTGGTTGGATTTGATACAAATGAACCAGATTTCAACTTTTGGGGAAAAAAGTGACTTAAAAGATCATTTAACCTTT